GATAACCTTGTAAAAACATCAAAATGCATAATAAATCAATAAGTCGTCATTTACTAATTTGTTATTGATCTTAGTTTCTTAGCTTTATATAATGGTTGGGAATAAGATAATAGTCTAGAAATATGTATTAATGCTTCTTTTATCATTTTACAAAATATCTTTGCATATTTCCACATATTTCCACAATGTCTCTAATTTTTACAATATTTTCCCTCGACATTTCCGACATATGTCCTATATTTTGGTAAGCGACACTTCAATCGACATCGACATTTTAAACCTTGTGAGAAACTAACTTCTTATATGACTTAGCATCTTCGTCATTCTTCCATTAAATGGCCTGGTAATGGTCCAAATGTCCAATTCCTTCCAAACAAATGTAAGGGCTGATAATAGGCTGACAGACTGCAGTTTACTTGTTTATAGGTTGAGGACTCAGCTTGTAATTGATAAATCTTGGCATAATGACTTTGCTTAGAGTAGGTCGATTTTGCTTGCTCCCGTATCTCATTAGGTGTATGCCCACATGAAGTTCTTCCTCGTTTCAGGTTGCATAGCTACAAGGAGCCAGGACATCACCATATTGTTCTCCTAGTCCCATCTACCATATTCAGCAGTCCCACTTTTAGGTTCTTTCACCTTCCCATTAATATATCCAATCTTTCCCCTTGTTGTAACATAAAGCTTGATGCCTACAGACCATTCCAAATAATTTAACCCATTTAAATGTGTGATGGGAATAGGGAAAGCCATACTTTCAATCCCAACACCAACAACTCCAGAAGCGGATGATTCATCAGTTGCCATTGGTTCTACTAGTACTAAAGAATAAAACTGAAACAACAAAAAACAATCAAACACCTCTTCAAACACTCATGGTCAAGGTACTGCTAGAAATTCCAAAAAACTCTGCTGGAACACCAACAACACACACTGCAGCCCAAAAAAAAAAAAAGTCCCTACCCACTAATAGTCAATACACCTTATAGGTCAACAAGGGAACAGCACACCCATACTAGAAGAAGCCACACAACTCCTTCACAATACTGGCCACTTAGTTTTTTGCTCTTCCAATAGCAGGTCACAGCATTGAAGTGCCACCAGAATACTATCCATGGTTTTTTGCTCTCCTTCCAATAGTTGATCCGGTCACTTAGTTTGGACGAACACAATACAGCACCAATTCAGACCCCACAGTTGCACCACAGTACCAGTTTTCTGGGTTTTCTTGGCATACGACCAAGTGAAAAGATAGAACAGAGAGTCCTATAAGTATCTCAGACTAAAACAATTACTTGTACTTGTGTTTCGATCCAAGAGAACAAGAAAAAATATTCAGATGGAGCACTCAATCTGTTAACATAATTGAAGAGAGAGAGAGAGAGAGTAGAATAGAATAGAAGAGGAATAAGAAAGATTGGGAGCCAAAAAGATGGGCTGGTGGCACCCTCTTCTTTATTTATAATAGAGAATCAAAATAAAATGATGAAATTACATCTATACCCCTGTCTGACATTCTAATAAGAAATAACATAAAACTAACATGGGGTAGCTTTCAAACAGCTCGCTAACAGCACTATGACAACACTGTTAATAAGTGGTAAAGCCCGGCCCAAGCCTGGATTGAGCCAAGCCCATGAACAGGTCTGGCATCAATGTCCTTCATGTCCTTCATTGCTCAATATCAGGCCATCTCAACTACCTACTCTTTACTTAACATTCAAGACTGTTAGAAGGCTACTAATACAGTTCTTCAAATGTCATAACTAAAAGGAAGAAATAGATCTGGAAATATGAGTAACTTCCTGTCAAATATAGCAGGCATCTAAATAGGTCGATCACCTAGGACATTAAGTAATTGAGTTGAGAGATAAATTATCCGGCAGAGATAAATAAGCAGATAATTGTCTTAAAATAAAATTTCAAAGAGGATAACAGAGTACTCAACTTTTTTTTGATAATTGTGCTCCTCAACAATATAAGAATCAAGGAAGTCCTTCTCTATGACCAGGCATCCATTCACCTTCAGTCAGGTTTTATATTTTCTGTCTTCATTATATGTGGTCCAAAATGTAACTAATGAATTAGCAATATCAGTAAAAGTCACACCATAAGGTCCATAACAGAGCACACAGGATTGTTATTCAAGCAAAGATTGAAATACAAAAGCTAGCTTGCCTATGTTTTCACTGTCCATTACGAAGCCAATAATATGAAGTGTCAACAGGCAATCTGAGGAATAAGGTGGGGATATTCCACTCTTAGTTCTTCAATTGTTTTCTTTCTAAGATGTCTATCACTAATCATTAGTATGAAACTTCTCTATTTTATATCCTTGAAATCATTGAGGATATCACTATACCCCTGAATGAAAATTTGCTTTCTTCAGTTAACTTTGTCACATGTCCCACTACCATCAAATCAGATGCACCTTGACTGCATAATGGTGCATGCTGGAATATGTTATTTATGTACTGCTCATTTTGTTTCTAATCTTTGGATTTGTTAAGAAAACTCCACTGGTTTAAAAGCCCATAATAATTTCATAGCATATGTAATGATATAGTAGACTAGTAATCCCGTATCATCCATTTTTGGGGAATATAAGAACAAAAGAAAATCAAAAAGCTAGTGCAATTGTAAGATGGATGATAAGGCAACCACACATGACAGATCAAGCTTATAAATTTGTTAGCAGATTACTCACAGTTCACCACAATCATTTTTACAATAACTGTTACATTACAATTTATGTTAGAGAATATGGAACGACCATATTTGATGAAAGAATGTACGACAGAAGGCTGCAGAACAAAAAGTGGTCTGCTAATGAAACAAGCGTATGCACTTAAAAGCAGAATCTGTACTTTTTTCTCGTTTTCCTCTAAACGCTTTACCTGAAAAGCCATTTAGGCTGAGATCCAGTTCTTCCAACGGAATCAAGCTCTCAAGAAGCTCCTCCGGTATAGATCCATATAGCTGATTGTTTCCAAGCCGTAAAACTCGAAGATGAGGTAAAGAGCCAAAGGAAGGAAGCTCGCCAGCTAGCTGATTGTTACCGAGGTCCAAAACTTCCAAGTTATTAAACAACTTGACTGCTTCATCCAAAAAGAAATTCCCATTCAATCTATTGTGACTCAAATTCACATAACGGACAGTTTGCGCCAAGCTAGAAATGTTATCTGAACCCAAAGAAAGCCCCCCATAGAACATGTTATTGCTCAAATCAACGTGTTCAACATTCCGAAGCTCAGACAACACGCCTCCAATGTCCGCCCAAAGCCCATTGGAATGCAAATCCAAGACTCTCAGTTGTTGAAGGTTTCTAATTCCGCTGGGGAACCCGCCCGTGAAATTATTTGACGACAGATTCAGATAATTCAATCCCCATAGGTCATTAATCCTAGCTGGGATCGGCCCATAGAACCGATTTCCCGACAGATCCAAACGCTGCAAAGAAGCTATAGCTCCCATTGCGGGCACAAGCCGGCCGGTGAAGAAATTCCCCGATAGGCTAAGATTTCTCAGCATTCTCAATCCACTCAAGGTGTTGAACTTCAAATCTCCACTCAAACCCAATCCATCAAGAGCAATACCAGCAACCGAGCCTGAGTCGTCGCACGAGATTCCGTGCCAGTTCTGAGGGCAGCCGTTAGCTAACACTGAAGACCGGTCCCATGATTTCAGTACACGGTCAAGTGGATCATACTTGATTCCTTTTTTGAATTCCAGTAGAGATCGAACTTCATCTTCGGAGGAACCTAGAACTCCAATGAAGAACACCAGACAGATGAAGATAGAACAGAAATGGAGACGCATTTCTCTCCAAAGAAGAACCCTAATCATTCGTTCATGGAGAAATTCGTCGAAACCCTAGAAACTCAGAAACCCCCGAAATAACAATGGAGAGCAGGGTAGAGTAGATACCAGACCAGCAGTGCGGGAGAACTGAGAGGGTTAAAATAATAAATAAAAGTTAAAAAAGAGAAAAAAGGAAGTTTAGGGTTTTTATATTGGTGCCTGGCCAGTGAGATAGTGAGTGTATGCGCGTTTTTTTTGGAGAGAGGGAACGAGCAGAAAATTCCGTTAAATTGGCGGTTTGGTGTGAGAGTTGGTGAGTTAGCACAGTCTGTAAAGATTAACGAACAGCCAGCCCTCCATGGCAGGCCACTTACACGCCTTAACGGCGTTAACGCCGTTTATCTGTTTTTCTAATTTTGTTTTTTTATTATTGCGTTTAGTTTTAGCATGCCCAATAGTTTTTTTTTTTTTGGTAAAAAAAAACTTCATTAAAGAAAATGAGAGAACAACATAAATTAGAAAAAATCCAATTTTTATTACTAAATATTTTATCAATTGAAAAATAAAATTAAAAATTTGTCATGTATATTCTTTCTCAAGTGTTTGGAAATCAAAGTGAAAAAAATTTAATTAAATAAATTAAATTTAACAATAAAAGAAAAATAGAAATGCACTTTGTCAATTTCGTTTTAAATAAAAACAAATATAAATGAAAATAATATTTAATACATTTATGAAAAAATGGGAGATCCCCATTGATATTTTTTTGGGGGGGAAAGTCCATGATTCCTAGTTGTATATGAAAATTTTCCTTTATGGTGTTATGTAGTGTGGATGATAAATTGGTGGGTGTGGATTGGTCCATACTATACCACAGTCCAAGCTAGTATAAAATTTGTGGACTGATTTAATTCATATCAACAACGTCATTCTATAAGTGTGGTATGAAATAGTCCACTCCACACTTTTTGATTCTATATATCTTATATACTGTTTATGAAATAATCTACATATTTGATTATAAATGTTTAAGTTTTACAGTTTGGAAAAAAGACATTCGTAATTAAATATTAATTTTAACAAAAATTGTAAGAAAAATAAATTTAAAAAATAAAATATTTAAGAAAACAAAATAAGAAATTATTGCAAGACAAGTGGTAGGGAAGAATCATCTTCTTCCTCTTGCAGTGGAGCATAATGGTAGAGGAGAGCTTTAGGCAATGGAAGAGCTTCAACGGTAATATTGTAAGGTCATGACTTTTTTTTTTGGTCGAAAAAGGTCATGACTAGTATTATAAGGTAAAGAGTTATGTATCTTATCATTATTATATTCTCAAAACAATGGGGATCTAACTCAACCACGAAAAATATGTGTGAATGAGATATTAAGTTATGGACGGGGCTAGTCCACGATATATTATGAACTAGTCTCATCCATAACATACAAAACGCTAAGGTCATCCCATGGCATGGACCAAAATGGGTCATCCACGAAATGACCACAATTCCGAGTACAATGCAAATGCATACAAAATACAAAATTTTGCACTCTACATATTTATATTTGTACTCCTTCCAAACTGAACTTTAAAAAAAAAAAATTATTAGTACTCCTTCCAAATGCAATGTTGTACTGAACCACATAAAAAGAAAAAATAAAGAAATACGAGAATAGAAAAACAAATTGGGACTCAAATAAACTCTTTGATTTATTGGTTGAGGTACAAAGCTCGATTGGAATACATGAGAATAAGAGTCAAATGTGAAATGATAAATACAAAATTGTAACTTCACCCCATCATCCCCTTTTGTACCATATTTAAATGGTAACTTTACAAATGAACAAAACGCCATAAACTTCTCGATGAAGGGCCCACCTTAGCTAACATGGAGGCAAATCAATGCAATACATTTTTTGATGCATTGAATTCATCATCATCTAAGACTTGTCCATATTATGAGCATTCATGTTGTCTTTTACCACTTCAACCTATGTTATTATTGATTTTGTCCGTAATCCTTCTAACCTATTAAAATTCAAATTGCAATAGATCGCCCTCACTAGGGATACAACTTAGATGGGATTAGGTTAGGCTTTTGGCCCTATTTCTTAGGAGTGATGTATATGGTTCTTATTAATGTAGATATTTACAACTATATAAGTCACTACCTTTTTTTTTTCCGCTAATCAAATTGACTGCTAATATTATTAATGTAAGTAATTGGGATCTGTTATTCACAAAGGACAGCTCACAGCGTCATTCCACCGTGGATTGAGAATATTTCCCCATAAATAATAACATAAAGTATAAAAGATTTTCCCAATGCATAGTAAAATAGGGGTGTAAGATGCATTCAGAAGCAGATCAGACTCAACTGTCAATGGGTCGGTTCTGCTTGACCCACTGAACTAAACCAAATCAGTTACACTGGTGGTTCTATCATTTTGTCCTCAATAATAATCGGGTTGGTTGTAGTTGCTTATTCCAAACGAATTCAGACCCGAATTGACTACTTTGTTAATGGCATACAAAGGTTTTTTAGTTTTCTAGGTTTTTTTTTGTAATTGTTATTATATTCTGTATCAATGAAAGATATATTTCATGGATAATAGATAAAATAATTTTGATTAAAAATAATCATTTCAAAGCTAAAACGGTCTGTCTGAAACCCGACCTGACCCATTCCCTATGAGTCATACAACAGGGGCAGCTCTCTCCAAACCCCTCGGGCAAATTCAACTGAACTGAACTAAACCGATACAATTATGTATGATCTAAGTTTACATTATGGTTTTCTTTTTGATAAGTTATTTATTCAAGTAAATGCAGTTATTTGGATAAGTTTTTCTGTGAAACATTTATCCGGGTAAGTGCATTTACCCGTGTTCTTTTATTTTTCATGTAAATAAGGTAATGACCATTTTAGCCATAAAAATTCATTATTAAAAGGGACATTTTTTCTCATTCAAGTGTTGGCAACTTTCCCCTTAGGTGGGAAAGTTATTTACCCACCTAGGAGATAGGTATCATTTACTCGGGTAAGTGGTACGTAGGAAAATAAACTTTCCCTGGTCCCCACATAAATCTGAAAAAGAAAAAACATGTGATTCTTGGTCAATGAAAACCAAAATCTCATTGACCAACTCCCCCCCCCCCTCAAAATCCGAAAAAAGAACGCCCCCTATGTTTCTTTCCTTATAATTAGTTGGAGAGGGGACCAATTTTGACTGATGCGAATTGGAAAACCCTAGTGGTATAAAGATTAGAGTGCAAATTGGCCGATATGATCCAAACTGAATTCGAATTCAATCCCATTTTACCAAATTCAAAACACCCCTATTGGATTTTTCTTTTCGAATTGGGCTGGGATCATAAAATAGGACTTGTTTCAAAAATTCATACCGAATTCGAATAATCCCTACCTGATATGTAAAAATCCAATCCAATCTAATGCATTTTTTCAAATCATTTTGTATGCATTTTATATTGGATATACTTGAATGTATCTTAGTGATGTTGTCCAATCCAAGATGTTACGAATTGAAGACGTAGTCAGATAGTTATGCCGACTAGACGAGATCGAGGTGGAAGGACGAAGCCGCACACTGAGATCTGCAACCAAAATAAGAGTTAGAGTCCCAAGGAGTTGTTTCCTAGGTAGATACTCCGACACTCAAGTTAATAGGATAGAGACGGATGTGGCCAAGACGAGCAAGTTGAAATAGCGTTGGTCTAAGCCGAAGAGATAATGCAAAGAGATATTCAAATAGTGTGGTTCCCAAAAGTCCCTTACCTCAAGCGGGGAGTACCATCTATTTATAGTTGGGCGTCCGTGTCCCATATGGATAGGGCATCCAGGGTTGTCGAGATGAGAGTGTTCGCCAAGGTCTTTGGGAGGTTTTCTCTTCCCTGATGGAGTTCGCTTCCTTATCCATGTGGAACACTCCTTAGTCGTGCTCTTCCGTTACACGTGACATGAGAGGGGGGGGCGACTGCGGAGATAGTCACATGTCATCATTGGCCAACTCAACTATCACTCGCGAAAAATAGCAACGTACTCTTCCGTTACGTGTATGTTAGCATGTTACAAAGATTAGAGTGCAAATTGGCCGATATGATCCAAACTGAATTCGAATTCAATCCCACTTTACCAAATTCAAAACACCCCATTGGATTTTTTCGAACTGGTTTGGGATCATAAAAATAGGACCTGTTTTAAAAAATCATACTGAATTCGAATAATCCCCTATCTGATCTAGAAAAATTCAATCCAATCTGATGCATTTTTCAAATCATTTTGTATGCATTTTATATTTGATGGATTTGAATGTATCTTAGGTTCCATTTGAAAGGAGTACAAACATAAAAACGTAAAGCACAAAACCTTATATTTTGTATGTATTTGTACTGTACATGTTTGTATTTGTATTCATTCCAAATCGAGCCTTTTTAATTCTACATATTTGCATTTGTCCTCATTCCAAACTAAGCCTTGGCAAGAATATAAATACAAATATGTAATGCATAAATACATACAAAATACAAGGTTTTGCACTCTACATATTTGTATTTGTACTCCTTCCTAACTGAGCCTTAATTTGAATCCAATATGATCCATCTCACATCCCTAGTCAAATATATCCTTAGGCCCTGTTTAGTTTGCGGGAATAGGGGTCTGAAATTGGAATGGACTACTCTGATTCAAACTGTTTGGTTGGGCGGAGTCGGAATCACATTCCCATTCCTGCTGGAATGGCATTCCCCCATTTGAGGGAATGGCCATTTCTTGCCCCTCCCTTGGGGATGAAATTATATTCCTGATGATTCCAATTCCCATTCCCATTTCCATTTTTGTTTGAATCAAATAGATTATAGAAATAGGCAATTCCAATTCCAAAGGATTTTGATTCTAATTTTGACTATGAACCAAATGGACCTTTAATCTAATACCTTTTGTTTTACATTTTATTTATAATATTATGATGTTCAAATTTATTGTCAAAAAGAGTTGTTAATTATAATTAGGTATGACATGATTGATAATTGACTCTATACCTTTTTTTTTTATGGTTTGGAATTGGGTACACCCTGCCCTGGACCAGACCAACTCATTGACAACACTACCACCAAAATAGTTGTGTATGACTGAATATATTGTGAACATGAATCATAGCCATTTTTTGTGAGATCAAATCAGCCACCCACAAGAATGCGCCCCACAACGTCCCACAGCACATCCTCACCGTATATTGG